TCAACTTGCTACCCGCTGATACCACGCTCGTGAGGCCTGCTTTAATCCATAAATGGCTTTTTTGAATTTCAACACTTTCTTTTTATTATTATTTGTTACTTGAAACCCGTCTGGTTTTGTCATATAGACATTATCATGTAAATAGCCATTTAGTAGTAAAGTCTTCACGTCGAGATATGTGATGTTTGGGTTTAAGTTTACAGCATAGGATAATGAGATCCTTAAAGTACTATGTTTGACAACAGGAAAAGAAGTATCGGAAAAATCTATGCCGGTTTTTTGCACAAACCCTTTTGCAACTAAATTTGCACGATATTGCACCAAGTTTCCACCGTCACATTTGATCTTGAAGACCCACTTGCATGGCACAATAGTCAACTCTGCAGGAGCATCCACCAATTCCCAAGCATCGTTCTGTGGTTCTAATTAAACGATTGGAGCTCTCCAGAAATATCCTGGATTCAGCGCTGGTTATCAATATCAGACCTTGATTAGTGCCTCTAAATAGGTTATTGGTTCATCCTCGTACTTATCATACGCATCTCTAGAACTTCCAGCATCATCTGCACACAAGGAGAGTTCATAATCCTTAAACTGACTGTTTGGTTTATGAATTCTCTGGGATTCCCTAACCTCTGCCTCTAAAAACTCTTCAGCTTCGGCAAAATCCTTACTGTTACCTTCTGAAGATTCTGGGAATTGATCCTCCACTGAATCTGTACTTTCTGTCTCATTTGTTATTATAATATCACTGTATTCTTTTTATCTTGTTTTCTTTCTTCGTCAGTTTCTTCCATTATAATAAGATCCCTATTTGAAGAAATACAATTCGTCCTGCTGGGATTATATTCTCTATATTATCCTCTCATGTTGTCACTGTATCCTACAAAAATCATTTTTTCCGATTTCTCATCCCACTTCAACCTTTTGGCTTTGAATTCGGCTGTTTCCTCCACTTGTCTTGCGCTGCGGCATGGCGTGGAAAACTCTCATAGTTTAGTCCTTAGGATCTCAACGTCTGGTCCCAGTTCGTGTTCCGGGGTTTCCTGAACTTTCTGGGCCCAGCCTTGTGATCAAGCTGAATAGGATGTGTCAATGATCCGATAGAGACGATTCGTCAGACACTGTCCACTTGTTATTATCATCGGTGCCATAGAGAGTGAGCCCAAAGTCAAGTCTATCAGCTCTTGACTACGCGAAGTGACAAAGTTTTTTCCACCATTGATTTGAATTCTTTAAATTTTTCGAAGGATTCGCTTTTATTTTTCAAAAAATAAATGAACGCCATGCGAGAAAAATCATCCTCTAAAATCAAAAAATATCGAGAACCTCTAATAGAAGCCACCTCCATTGGTCCGCATAAATCCGCGTGAACCAATTCAAGGATAAAAGAAGCTCTGCTACCGCATTGGGAAAAAAGTAGCCTAGTTTGTTTTGCCGCACACCAAACTACACAATTTTGTTTTGTGGTTTTTAGCTCAACTGGATAAAGAAGACCATCATCAGTTAAATTATTTTTCATCTTATTCAGATCACTTGAATTCATGTGCCCGAATATCGTATACCATGTTATGCGATTCACAGTCAGAAAACATGTATTAACCATTTTTGTTTCTAACTTATATGCACCATTATTCAAGTAAGCAATCGCAACTAGTTCATTCTGATTATTAAAAATCTTACAATAGTTTTTTTTCAAACTAACATTGTTACCATTTGTTATTACCTGATGATTTACCGATAGTTAATTGGTTCTGGCACGCACAAAACATTCTTTATAGTTTAATATATATCACAGGTCTGATTAATTACAAAAGTTTAAATATTTACCTCTCCAGAACATGACAATTTTAATTTATATTATACCCATAATTTCTCTTATATCAGAATTTTTTGCCTTATTTTCAATCCAGTCCATATATTTACTGATAAGTGCATGCTAGCACCCGAATCGATGTTCCACTCGTCCTTTCAGAATTCACCATTAAGAAGCACGGCGCTACAAGCATTCTGCCTAGGTTTATTTGGGCTATTCAGATCTGACCTACTCTGATCCACTGATGTTGAGCTCCCATTGGGACATTGGTTTTTATATTGTCCAAACAGGCCACAGGAGTAGCACCTAATATATTTTTTTTCAGAACTGTTGGTTATGTTGCTACCCAATGTGCTACCCCAATGAACTATAACCAAAAACTGGAATGCTAACACAGAAGGACGAACGTGAAGCCTAGTGCCGCTGCTGCGGAGGGGATACCTATTTTTGTCGCACTCATTATGTTAAATGGCGAAAATTGCTTCCAACACGTATTCCAATTGATGAAACCTGTGAAGGGAAATATGACAAAACTTTCGAAAACGTCATATGTCAGCGAGCAACAGAAAAAGAAAACATTCCCCGTTGTGGCATCTGTCTTTCATGGCTTCATTTTTTTGGCAGATATGGCACTGTGTGCGCATTCCAGTTTTGAGTTCTAGTTCATTGTGCTACCCTCATAAGTGCTGCCATTTCTGCGTTTGTTCTGAAAATGTTGACGCGATTTATTATGTTTGTTATTCCATTGTTTACCTGCAAAAGCGGATTCTGTTTTGACATCCTTGTCATCTTGTTGACTTCCACATTAAGCAATTTCGTTTTAGTGGCATCAGCTGTGATGTCTATGCCAGAGTGTTCTATTGCCATTACCATTGGGGCATACTTTCCAGGAAGCCCTGCCAATAATAATGAGCTAATCCAGACATCATATATGCTGAAACCTGTGCCTCGTAGCTTCTGGTTCGTTTCAACGATGATATTTACATAGGATTGCAGGGATTCAAAATTTTCTGCCTGGCACTAATTAGAGTTCGTAACAAACCGATCTTTCGAGCAAAGTCCGAATCGTCACAAAGGAATTTTAGCTTGTCCCACAATTCTTTGGTTGATCGTGTGTCCTTGATATGAACGAACATCGATGAGTCTATCGTTAATATCAAGGCTAAAGTATAAAGCGAAATAAAAAAAATTTGAAAATATAAAATATGTATAAAAACGTTCGTGAAAAACTAGTTTTATTTATGCCAAGACTGCATCCCAAGAATCACCTCACCTAATAATAAGTACTGTAGTATTACATACGATCGGTTAGAATGTTATTATCTCTTTTTTCAACAAATTTTCTGAAAAACGAAATGAAAAAATTGGACCTATATTGTCGAAATTCACTCAATTTTATTTACTTGACAAGCGCCCAATAGCAAAATTAGGGAAATTTAAGGAAAGTTGTGATATGTAAAATAAAGGAAAAATTTGTGAAGCGTCTAATTTCTTATTAGAGAAAATCGCAACGTTCTCAGCCTGGAACTTACGAGCGTAAATATAGCACGGCAGAGAAACCCTCGATCTACCATTTCTCAAAAATCAAAACATACTGTGTCATTTTAATAAATAATTGTGAGTCAATAATACAATGATTGTAAATCAATAATAATTTAAATTAGGTACCTTGTGATAAAATTTTAATTCGACACACTACATTCAATCAACACTACTTATATTCAATACTGAAGAGTTTTTGGTTAATTAGCCCATCTGCCGGCAGGTACTGAGGTCCCTGGAGGCGTATTCTGTAAACGAATAGAAATAGACATAGAGAAGAGATAGACATAGACAGGAAATATAAAAAACTAATTCTGTAAGCAACTTTCCAAGTTGACTCGGGTGAAGTCGAAATAGAAATATCGTAAACTATACAACGTGAAAACATTGCGCTTTCCTAGAGACTTTCATTATTTTTGTGGTGTTTTAAATTGTCAGTTGTTATCGACTGTTCAATGTCAATATCACATTGTTATTGATTATTTTTTATTATCGAATGTAATACCACAAGAGGTAAAGATTTTGCAATTTTCATAATGCGTTTTAAAAGCTAACAACAAATTTTTATAAACCATTATGTTATGAATCAACGAAAGATCCTCGAGTTACTCGAAGGATCCCCTATTACGTTGTGTAGTGGAGAGCTTTTACGCTATTTCCTGATGGACACCTTGTATACACCGAAATATTGATCTACACCATTTCCAAATCCAAGCTGCAGTAAATGACAAACTGGTCATTTTCATAACAACCTATCAAATATCCTCCGTGCATGCGCACTAGTCCAGGTAGGGCGTTTCAACCAATGGGAAGGCTGGTGTTTGTTTACAATTTAGGTTATTAAAATGTCATTTACTGCCGCTTGAATTTGGAAATGGTTTAGATATAGAGCGCATTATTGACAGATTTGCTAAGCAAAAATGCAAACTGGATTTTGTTTTGTAAATGTATACAAACTTTAGTTGATAAGTTTATTAATTTTTATTTTATCTATAATTATCGTTATTAGGATTTAATGCTGCTGCTGTTAATGTATTATTTACTTTGACAGTAATACATAACTTTTAGCTGTATGGCAAGTACTTTTTCATCTTGCGCCCCCCCTCAAGGAAATCCTGGGACCGCGCCTGATTCACAGCGCATACATGGTTGCAACATTTACCATTTGCTTTTCTATAGTAAATATTTAATTTTTTTTTCAAAGTTAAGAAGAATTTGAAGAAATAATATTTCTAATAGGTGGTTTTTCTCAGTACTAATATACATATATCTCGAACAAACTACAGCATGATTGCATTTAACCAGCGTTATCTTCTAATTTTTGATTATTTGTTTTGTTTGTTGCGTTCTTCCCTACAACTACATTTCTCTACACAACAAAATGCAGGCATTTTACCAATATTTTCGCGCACTTTAACATTTGCCTGCCCCTGGCTAACTTCTGACAGGCGCCATTTTGAACTAAAGGTGCTTCAGAGTAAATATTTCCAACATTTACGACACGCAGGATATTCTAATTTGCTCCCATACAGTTACCTCTTCAGTTCCTTAAAAATGCTCGCAAATACTGAAAAACAGCTTCAACAAACCTGTCATCTATAGGTGCTACTAACGAAATCTTATATTTGATATTTTTTTGTAGGAAACGATAAGGGCGATTTCGGCGACATCAGTCAAAGGAAAGCTCTAAGAGAGAGTCTCCAATGCAAAAGCTTCCAGTGGTACTTGGACAACATTTATCCGGAATTGTTTATACCGGGAGATGCTGTGGCTAGTGGAGAGGTAATATTTAACCTTTTATCATTATATTTTTGTTTGTGTAGCTTCTATTTTATATCTATACTTCAAAATTAATTTTATTCGGTTTCAGAAATGATTTCGAATTATTATATTTTTATAATTTGTAGAAATTTATTTAATCCTGGTTTAGTTTATTTATTGTAACCAAAAAAAAATCATCCATCTTCTATTATTTCTGTGATTTATTGTCGACTATTACAGTTATCACACAACGACAAACGTTAAAATTTAAAATCGTTTTTTGCTCCATTCAAAAACATTGAAACAATTTCGGTGTTAATTTTAAATAATAAATGAAACCTTCAAATCCGCATACATTATAAATAGGCGTTTTAATTAACGCTGCTGCGGCGATGATTGTAAATATTTTAATTCGAAAATTGTTTTGACAAAGCCCTCCGGGTGAAAATGCAGCTTCAAGAAACACGGCGCAAACATTCCCAGAAACACTTTTATAGCTTTGATAGAGGTAATTGATTGTTTTAAAAGCGGAAAAGTTTCCAAGTAACTTCTAATCTACTTTACGTGTCGGCGCTGCAACAGAAAATAGTTGACGGTTATCCTGAAACGGTTTGTTTTTGTTTCTCATAATTTGTTCGATTTGAACTTAACTTGTTGATGGATTTATAATCTATTGACTTTTTGAAACACAAATAGGGTTTTATTGGTGGTTGTTTGCCAATATAAATGTTTGAATAGAAAAGTGGGTAACATAAGCAATGCCGGTATTGGTCGCAAAATGCCATTTGCACGGCATGATGTCAACCTACAGGGACACCTCATTTTGCGACCAATCAGGGCCAAGCGTTATTGTTTATGTTTCAAAATTTTCAGTGTCAAAATCTATTTTGGAAAAAATAGACTATACCTATATTCAATACTAAAGAGTTTTTGGTTAGTTAGCCAGTTTCACCAGCAGGTACTGAGGTCCCATACGGGAAGCTACTCAGCTATAGTTATCAAATACGTTTTTAGCTAAATTTATTAAGAATCGAAAAGGTATTTGAATGAGAAAGACAAATTGTAGGTACGATTCTCTTCGTTTACTTTTTTCCTTTTGCACAACATCACTTCTCATCTAAATTGTTTAATCATCGGGGATTGTTTTGAGCTGTAGAACGATTAACATACAAACCAATTCTGGAGCCGCACAATCTTGGCACACCCAGTCTCTGGCAGCATTGTCTTGTCTCTTCCTCTGTTCTCAACAATCAGCCATGTTAAATTCTTCGAGAATCTTTTGTGTGCAGCTTTTCTGTGTTATTGTCACTTTCTGAGATGTTCTATTTATTTCCATCCCCATGTACTTTTTAACTTCACCCAGAAGTTTAGCATTCAGTTTCTCTTCCAGTATATTAATAAGACTTTGTACCTTGTCCTCATTTCCAATTATAATCCACGAACACTGGAGCCATACATCTGCTTTTGGATAGAGACAAAAATCATATTAGGATCTTCTAAAATCTAAATCTGTCATGGTTTGATTATTAAATCTTTTTGGTCTTTGGATATCTGTTCTTTTCCGCAACTGCCGTCTTGTTTCTATTAAATCTTCTCCTACTGCATGATCTTCTGGTTCAAGTAGCTATAATTTGCTCAATGTCCAACCCTTCCTTAGAATTTTGCCCTGGTTCATCTTTTCCTTGAAACAAGACGAAGTAATATTAGAAGGCAAAGGTTTGAATTGTGGCAAGGCTAGTAGAATTGTATTGAGTTCTTGCCTTCTTTACACCAAATCCACAACCTGTGTTGTTGGTAGGTGAGCTTTGTCTTTGAGTTTGCTTTGAACTGCTAAACCTTGTTTCACTTCGCAACTTGCTTTAATAGAAAAATATTCAGCAGAAAGTAGGTCTCTGATAACTTGCCGATCAACTTTCTCCAGAGAGGCTGCAGAGGACAAGGCATTTGAAGAAGTGAAATATCTTTGAGCCGTAGGAAGAGACATTTTCGTGAAAACCCTGTTATATATTTCGCAATATCGATTTGAATCGTAAATGAAATTTTGTTTAATCCAAACCCAATGAAAATAAACTGGCACAATATTATTTAAATCTATCAGCAACACATACGTTGTTTATTTTAAATATTAAATGAAACAAACGGCGGCGAATAATATATGCCATCGTAATTTGTAAATAATTTAATTTCAATTATGAGTTTAAACTAAAGCCGCTTAGTGGAGAGGGTGTATCCAGTTTCAAAGTAGCGTTATTATTTAATTAAGTAATGCGACAAAAAATAACGCGGTTCTCAAAATGCAAAAAAAAAACCAAAGGTGAAATTTTCCACAAGCGCCGTCTAATTTTATTAATTTAATTACCTTTTCTCACATCCGGAGGAAACTCTGGAAAGTAGAGAATGCAACTGCTTTTTTGCCAGCAATTTTATTGCTTATCCTTAATTGAAAGGAAACATAAGAATTTAATTGGATAATTTTTTACTGGCCGAACCTGGGCGTTAGGCGGACGTGTTCTAAGGGTTTTCTCATTTTCTAGCTGAAACGTCGACAGTTTGTGAATGCTGTTTACGTGCCGAACTGGCTGGAGAATGTTTTATCTGAGCAGAAGAAAAAAAAATGTATATATTTCTTTGTTTGATAGAACTGAGAGATTTATTTGAAATATATCTTTGATGAAAATATTTTTACGTTAGCAATAAGTGAGACTACTTTTCCAAAGTACACTTTATTCCAATCTCTTTATATATGTAATTCTCAAAACTGAAGGAAAAGTGAGAACGGACAGCACAGAAGAAACTGCATAGGAAAGACCCATGCAGTGAAAAGATTGAAACGCCAATTTAAATTCAGTTCTGGGCGGAGTTCCCGAGAGGAAGTAAGAGAGACTTTCATCCCTTGTATACAACGGGGATCAGCCGCCATATACAAGTTATCCGTTAAAAGGCTCAAACAAGAAAGTATAGAAAAAGAAATCGGTGTGCGGACGATCACACCTAGGAATGCAATTATCCCAAGAATGGCTCTTTCCATTGAAATCACCGTTTCCTCAAAAAACCACCCGACTCTTACTCCTCCTTATCAAGCCTGTGTCAATAAGGTGATAGGCAGCAGCCTGTCCAATTGATTTCCCCCAACAGACAAGAGAAATCACTTGAGCAGAAGTTGGCGCAGCTCGTATAAAGGAAAACTTAAGATAACTTCACCCCGGAGCAATGGCGCGCAGCAAATCAATAATCAATTTTCACTGCTGGACTGACCCAAGGATAATACACACTACTACTACAGGATAGCCTATCCTCATAAGGCCTGTGTGGAACAAATCTGAAGCCCCCCCACCACGCCAAATCACCAGTTGTGACGTAGGCAGCATGTCCGTTCTTGCCTTGAAGTAGGGTAGCAATGGCATATACAAAACAAGAAAAAGCAATACTTTTGCCAGCTCACTAGCTAATTCTCTAACCATGAAGATACAATATACGATGCAAACTTTGAAACCGAAATTGACATAAGAGCAGAACAAACTCCAGTAACTGATGAACAATGAATTCTGCCAACCCCCATAGAAGCTGCCGGCCCAGATACAGTCACCAACCAAATGCTCGAAGCCCTACCTGAAAACTTTATTACAAAACTAAAACATCTCATCAACCTTTCTACTGAAATGCCACCCAACAGCCTGGAAAATAGCTAACATAGCACTAATTCCGAAACCCAACAAAAATCATTCGCTTCCACAACATTGGAGATCAAGCTTAAAACCTCTTACCAGATGAAGAATATGGATTCAGGCCCAATCATTCAACTTGGGTTATGAAGAATTTACCTGCTGGAATAAATAAAAAGTGATTATAGCTTCGATGCCAAAAAATCTACGAATCCTTATACCTAATTTAACGTTCTATTCGAAAGTAGTCGCGGCTCTTAAATAATTTAATATTCGAACGAGACCAAAATAAGCAGGCTTCGCTATATCTATATCGAATATGGATCCATTTCGGATTCGTCGAATGGGAAAAATCGAATATCGGATCGCACGTGCGAAGTGTACTGGATGTGTTCCAAGTTTCCGGACTTGGACTGGTGTGACTTCCTGTCTCGAGCGTAGCGTTTCGCTCGCCAAGTTTCGTGTATACGTGTCAGGCGGATGGGTAATTTATTGCCCGTACGAAGTGACGATCCGATGGGTTTCGAGACTTCGAAGGGTTTTCTTATGTTAAAGATTGAAGTTTTATAAAAGATTGCTTAAAACTACTTTAGAAGCGATCCTGTGAACGAAGTAATTTGAGGTTATGGTTGGAGGGTAAATTGTCTCAGAAGCTTGCTAGTTATACTACTTTTTGGTTACAATAAATAAACTTAACTGAGTGTATTCCTTTTGCGTATACCTAAGAACTGCTCATTTGATTACCCTGAAAAAAATTACAAGACAAAGGCTATTTACAGAGTTTACTAACTGAATTAAGGTATTCCTCAAGTATGAAGAATACATGTCAGATAAGTAATGATTATGCCCTCAAATGTGAAAGGAATACCCTCATAATACCTAGATTCATAAGTTTATTATTACAGCTCAACGATGCCCCATCTCACTTCTCATGTTTCCATTGTTACCTACTAATGAATTTCTTCCCTCTCTAGATGCGTAATTTAGGCTACGGAGGCAAAACCTGTTTGGATTCTGCCGCGCGCAAGAGCGACATGCACAAACCCGTAGGCCTATATCCGTGCCACAAACAAGGAGGCAACCAGGTAACTGCGTTTTTATCCCTATTTACGTTGTGCTTTGTTTTTGCAGATCGCCGACAAAGAATTAGGCCAGTGTCTGGACGTTAGCGACGTTAAATCGAATACGCCAGTCGGTATCTGGCCCTGTCACGGACAGGGCGGTAACCAGGTAATAAATGACCAAAATATGTTGTGGTCGCGGCTGGTTTCTCTGGGACTATCTTGTATACTGCTGTACTTTGGGTCCAGATTCTTTATTATATAAGGGTGCTTAGGTGTTCGTCAAATTTGCCAATTGGTATTCAATGTTCCATGTTAATAACTACATTACTGTGAAGGAGGAGTGAATTTTTTATAACATTAACTCATTTAACCCAAAAAGATTGCATGACAGAGTCACTATTGCAACTCTAGTGATATCTACAAGTATTTTTCCTTTTGTAGTATTTTTTTGGTCGTTTTGGCCATCAAATGCTAGAAGGAATAGTTGAAATACAATGTTACAATTCCATTAACTACTAATATGTACAGTGAAACCGAATATCATCTCACAATGTAAATATTATCATTATTGTAGGTACATTTCAGGGCATGTTAGAAATGTATCTGAGAAAATATATAATTCATGTACGATCTATTAACTTAAACTATGACCAGAGATTCATTCCCTCATTGCATATTAGTGTAATTGCATTGCTAATGTTACATTATGTCCATTACCCATTTAATTTTTCTTGTTAGTTTAACAACAAAAAAGATAATCCGATGCGTGTAACTGCAGAAATGTCTATCTATTGTGACAAAAAATAAGTGTTTGCTAGACATCTACTTTCTACAAGAAAACAACAGTTGAATGAAACTATTGACCAATTATATTCAGGCCTTAAAATTGTTAAGCCAATAGCTACTGCAATTTCAAATCAGTAACTGCTGAACAGAATCGAAATTAGTTTATACGTGATGCTTTCATAAGCAGATTATCTCAACCAACAATTCGTCAAAGGCTATTAGAATCTCAATCATTAACACTAGAAGAAGCTATATCACAATCCAGAACCTAAGAAGAATCTCAAAAACTATTGAGCTGTATTTTTCGCCTCAAAAATCGATAAATGCAGGATATGGAACAAGTGCAATAGAAACTATACCTAAAAATCAAGAGCAGTTAGCTTCTGCAAGCGCGTCACGTCTTATACAAGAATGTTATTTCTGTGGAAATTCAAGACACCCACGTGCTATGTGTCCTGCTCGTGATAAAACCTGTACTTATTGCCAGAAACTTGGACATTTTTCCAAGGTATCAAAATTATCAAAAACCGACATCAGCTTCAACATTTTGCATATCTTCAACTTTTACGAAATCTCCGTAATGCTTATCAAAAGCTATAATTGTAGTATCCATAAACCATATCTAAATGCTTTATTAGACACTGGAAGTTCAGACACTTTTCTAGATTTAGATTTTGCAAAAATAAAAATAAATTCAAAATATTTATTTGCCCAGGAGAAGTGTCTATGACATCTACTTTTTCAAATCGCAAATAGAAGGATATTGTTTTATTAATTTGCAAATTTTTGAAGAATGCTATACTAATCTAAAAGTTCTAGTTCTATCAAGACTGTGCACTGATTTGATAATTGTTCATGATATTATGGCAAAACATAACACAGTTAACTTAATTTTCGGCGGACCTAGAGCTACTCTTTCAATTCGCTGTTTAGCACAGGCACAGGTGGAACCACCTTCATTATTTGAAAATCTCACAGAAAACTATAAGCCGATAGCAACGAAATCTTGTCGATATTTCGAAGATGATTATAAATTTATACAAGAAGAAGTGAGAAAACTAATCACCGAATGAATTATTGAAGAAAGCACATCACCATGGAGAGCTCAAGTTTTGGTTGCACGCACAGAATATCACAAAAGGCGAATGGTTATTGATTATTCACAAACTATAAATAAGTTTTCTTTACTTGATGCATATCCTATTCCAAATATCGAATCATTAGTAACAAAAATAGCACCATCGATTTAAAATCTGCCAAATTCCAATTCGAGAAACAGATAAATCTTTGACAGCTTTTGAAGCAGGTCGCCTATATCAATTTGGGATCACAAACGGAGTATCCTGTTTCCAGAGAGTGATAGATTCAATAATCCAAAAAGAAAATTTACAAGGTGTTTTCTCATATTTAGATTATGTGACAATATGTGAGGAGAATCAAAAGTCCCATGATTCAAATTTAGCAAAATTTTTAGAAATAGCTAAGAAATACGAGCTTACACTTAATCAAAATAGGTGTGCATATAATAAAAAAATCTAGTAATTTACTAGGATGTACTACTAAAAACAAGACATTGAAACCTGATTCGGATAGACTAAAACCACTATTAAACTTGCCAGTTAATACCTTTTTTGTTACTATATGCGATTTCGTCCCAGATTTTCATCTGCTGTTTGTTAGGCGAATAATTAACCAATTGGTACATAAGTGACCAAGTGACGTAGCTCAACAATCTCATCCTCATTAAGTGGATGGGGCGTTTGTTACATTTTGACTTTGACATATTTATTTGGACGAGAGAAAAAGAAACAGAAAGCTACCAAACCTCCACTACCCAGTCAAACCGCGGTATAGCATCTGACAGACCAAAGGGCCTACCAAAGTTCTTGTGACAGCATCATTCACCCATCCAAAATTGAATGGTACCTGTTTGACTGACCAAAGTGGGGTACCCAATAAAGAGGTACCAAACTGAGGCGAAATCGCCTTATGTTTGTCACATTGACATTGTTAAATGAATCTGTGGTTAAATGTATGAATTGTAAAACTAGTTGAGTTTTGCGAATGAAAGCCTCAATTTAGAAAGGTTTATTTACTACAATGACAAGGTATGGCATTAGGGCCTTATCTACAAGCTTCTGACAATACACGACGTCCCCCTTCACTACGCGTCACTTATGGCCATCAAATTCAACATCAATTTATCCCAGACGAAACCCATCAAGTCAGGCTTCCTCCAAGGCACGGTGATCTCCCCAACCCTAACCTCTACATCGCCGACATCCCCAAATCCCAAAAATTATGATGTAAGCAGACGACACGGCACTATACATCAGCGCCTTTTTCGCAGATAAACCTAATTACTCCTTTTTTACGTGAGTGGAAGATCAAATTAAATGCAAACAACACCGAACTACTTACGCTGACTGGGAAAAGGACCAACATCATCATCGTACCTCCCCTATCCTACTATAGATTTCCCCTCGAAAACGCAGGGTAAATACCTTGATAAGGCCTTCGAGGACGTTCCTCAGGCGGATAATACAATAAGAAAAGCGTACGCTGCTGAGCAAAATCTCGCCCCTATCATGTGTTACAAATTAAATGAATTATTTGCTTGCGCCCACGTTGGACGCCATTTTGTTACAAATAATTTGATTATTTTTCACTTTAAGACAAGATAACTCAAAATCCAACAAACATTAATTTTATTTCGTTCTGTAATAACCAGAGATAAGTAGTAACATATAGTAACAGTCAATGTTACTCTCTATAAAATTTTAGTGTTGACAGCTTGGTTTTTCCGGTGAATCTGATACCATATACCTTTCCGATCCGGAGCTCTTCAATGGGTGTTGGGGTTTCACTTTCGTGAACTAGAGCTCTTCGTGTTGTTTCCTGTATCCAGGAAAATTTTAGATTGCTGGGGTGACGTCACTCCAGCTGATCTACACTCCAAACAGTGATCTTTATGTCGAGTAGGTACTCAGAAAAGAATAAGGCAGTATCAGGTTCACCAATATTTGGAATATAAAATCCCTGAATTCTGTCAAAAAAAGTGAGTGTCTTGCAAAGGAAATTGAAATTGAAATTTAATACAAAACGATTGTTGTACAGACACTCCCTTCTAACAGAATCAGGTATGAACAGCTATTGCAAGTTGAAAAAAAATATATTTTAACATAAAAAAAAATACAATTAAATAATTAAGAATAATGGTAAGATAATAATAAAATTAAAATAATAAGATTAAATTAAAATGCTCGTTATGATTGAGCAAAATGTTGCTTTCTTGACAGTAGCTCTGGTAGGCAAAAATATGAGCAAAAATAAGGTAAAACAATTAAAGAAATTAAATCTTTGGATTTTCCCCCAAATAGACAAAATTTTCCTTTCAAATTAAGGTAGCGGGTAGCTACTATATATAGATACTACAAGATAAACCTGGGGTTGAAATTAATCAAATCCAGAATATGTCAAAATTCTTGAAATGTTCTAATTAAAACTTTTTACTGAATTTTTAACCTGTCTGGATTTCTATTGAAAAATTACACCCTTTAGTCGAAATAATAATTCACGAAGTCAAACAGAAAATGGCTATTCAGACCTCTGCCTGGATTCAATAAAAAGTTGATAGGGATGGACACACAAATTTGGTTTTCACCGACTGTATTTAGAGCAATTGTTTCAATATTCCCACACTAACAATTGATTCTGAAAACCAGAGCAGCGGTACCTATTTAAAACACGTTAATCGCCATGACACATTGCAATGTATGGAGTTTTTCTCAGAGGGGCCTGGGGGACCCTGCTAACGTATGAGCCTAAGAGTTTTTGTAATTTTTTTTTGCAGAACCACATTTAATTGATTGTAAGAAAAGAAATGGATTACCAGAATAAATATATTTATCTATGATAAACCAAAATAACGTATAAACTAAATGCTTACTCTATATATTTGTCACAGTCAAAAAACAGGACAGACAATAGAAAAATGTACACTGTATGTAAGAAAATCTTGACTCTGGTCCTTTGCTTTGAGTTACTTTTCTACCTTTTTGAGCACTTAATTTTTCGTAGCGGGACACACATTTTTTCCTATCTAATATTCATGCACGTAGTAATCAAGCTTAGGCTTGTATCTTTGAACATCGCTAGTTGGGTTTCGGGGCTCACACCTAGAAAGGGCTCCGAAACCCAAAAGCCGGGTTTCTTTTTCAAAGTCATATTTTTGG